GCGCAGACTCGGGCTCCAAACGAATCTCTACTGCGCAGACTCGGGCTCCAAACGAATCTCTACTGCGCAGACTCGGGCTCCAAACGAATCTCTACTGCGCAGACTCGGGCTCCAAACGAATCTCTACTGCGCAGACTCGGGCTCCAAACGAATCTCTACTGCGCAGACTCGGGCTCCAAACGAATCTCTACTGCGCAGACTCGGGCTCCAAACGAATCTCTACTGCGCAGACTCGGGCTCCAAACGAATCTCTACTGCGCAGACTCGGGCTCCAAACGAATCTCTACTGCGCAGACTACTCAATTACTCCATTTAATGCCAAATAACTTTACATAAACAAGTTTATAAATGAGCTTTTTTCACAAAATCTGACATTTCTGTGGCTGTTTGGACACGGTAAAACTCCCACAAATGTAGAAAACCATCTGGCTCATGTTTGTGCTTTCTTCTGTCAGCGGCCATAATTTTAACCTTGAAATCAGGCTCCAAACGAATCTCTACTGCGCAGACTACTCAATTACTCCATTTAATGCCAAATAACTTTACATAAACAAGTTTATAAATGAGCTTTTTTCACAAAATCTGACATTTCTGTGGCTGTTTGGACACGGTAAAACTCCCACAAATGTAGAAAACCATCTGGCTCATGTTTGTGCTTTCTTCTGTCAGCGGCCATAATTTTAACCTTGAAATCAGCATTAGGATAAAACTAAAGTCATACATGTGAAAATGGGCTGAGAATTGATCAAATACTTGTAATCTGGCTCAAATTCAGGTCTGGTTTGTCGGCTGATTATGGGATAATGCAAGACTTCTTCACCTTAGAAATGGTTGACAAAAGCAAAAATGGTATTAAAAACATCATTTTGTGAACAAGCGTGATGTCCCCAAGCAAAACAGATGCCCCAAAATGACCAAGAAAAAGTATTGGATTTCATTCAGCAAATATAGCTGTTTCCATGCAAATTTAACGTTAGAATATCACACAAAACATTTGCGAATAATGCACCGTTTCCATCCAATGTGTTCAAGAGTACAAAATTATAATTTTTTGGGAAACTGTTGCAAAGTATCAATAATAAAAATGAAAATTGCTTCAACCGAGGAACACCATGGCTCTTTTTTTCTACATAATAAATGACGTGTCTCAGAGCATGCAGATGAAACGCTGTCATGTTATCTCGCATTCGGATGCCTGATGTTTGAGAAAGCAGTCATGTGAGACCGTTATGGGAGGTGATTATACAAAATCATTTTGATGACGGACTTTTGCTCAGGCATTTCAGAATTATTAACAACATTTGAGATGGTTTGCGATGAGATTTAGTTCATTTATCCAATCGCATGATCTGTTGAGGCAAAGTCACTTGAGTTTATGGTTGCGTATTGAGGAACTTATTCAGTGTTGTAGTTTTTTTGTGACATTTTCACATTTTGTTTATGCATATGCATGCTTTCTTATCAGATATAAAATGTATCCGACTCAATTGAGCGCTCAGGTTTTTATGCGCATTTAAAGGCACAATTTGTAATTTTCGCCGCTAGAGGGCACGTATTCAAAATAAACAAATCACCGGTCTAATAAAACGCACAACATATTAAAGCATCTTTAGTGTTTCCATGTTTTCTACAAAACAAAACCGGAAATCAAGGGGTTATCACGTCATTAGCAGGCGACACAATGACACTATGAACACGCTCCGTGTCACTAGTTAAACTTGCTTATTTCTCTGGATTTAAACATTCTTCAAAACATTTGGGATAATGTAAGTACATAAGTCAGCAAAATATATAACACTGTTCTAGTGGTTTTTGGATATTTTAATAAAAAAATCTTACATATTGTGCCTTTTTAAGGATTTTACGCACATCTTGCTGTTTCCATCCAGCATTTAATGCCATTTCTATGTAATTGTGAAATATACTAGCAATTTCTGAGTTTTTTGTTTTCAGTTTGGACAACAAAAGAGGTTAGGCAGAGTATTCACTGCTTTTTTTCATACAGTAAACGCAGATCATGGACCAAAAAACTTTAAAAGTCACCTCTTAATATGTCCCGTGTCCAATAAAAGCACTGCGATTCAAATAACGTTTGCATGTGTAAATTTGTTTCAGAGCGTCAGTGCGATCCTGGACTCGGCCAGTAACGAGCTGCTGTCAGAATGTTACCGCAGATCCTTGAAGAAGATCTCCAGCCTTCCCGATTCTAACGAAGAGATCGATGACACCATCCTGACATGATGGACAGCCTCAGCTGCTCTGAATCCAGTGCTGTAGCCGCTGATGTTCTCCGAGATCCTGCATCAGTCAGCCACACACACACACTCTCCTCACGCTAGCTTTGACTCTTCATGTCATGTACATCACAAGGAAAGCCTGGGAAAGTATATATTGTGCTGAGCCCCTGAAATCATCTAAAATCTGCATTTTCCTCAATTGGCTATTAATTTGTAAATGTATATTTTTCGTTTGGTTTTCTTCTGAAAGATGAAGTATTAATTTGTGCCAATTCTTTTCCAACACTGATGTTCTGCTGCCCTTTTATATTTCGTTTGGATGGTGAGCAGTTTCTCGCTGTTGTGATTGATTTCTCTCTGTGTGTGAGAGAGACACGTGAGCCATTAACAACCCAAAGGATGTGATGCTGATTTTTCCAGTTAGCACTGTGTCCACTAATAATGGTTGTATGAATAAATAGAAAATGAAAACTTTGATTTAATAAACGGTTTGACTTAAAGAAATTACATTTGTTTGTTTCGTAATTCCTGCTCAACATTTCATGCATCTTCATAACACCTGATGACTCATTAGTACGCCACTGAAGCATAATTCTCAAATATCAGGACATGTATCATTATCATTCTGAAGGTGAACTATCCCTTTAAGGACAGATTCAGACTTCTAGGTTTATTGTGTGGTAAAAAGCATCAACATTTTGCTTTAACAGAGCTAGAAATATAATATATATAGATTGCATTTATGTAAGAGTCAATGACAAATGTGACCATGGACCACAAAACCAGTCATAAGGGTCAATTTTTCTAAATTGAGATGTATACATCACCTGAAAGCTGAATAAATGCGCCTTCCATTGATGTATGGTTTGTTAGGATAGGACAATATTTGGCCGAGATACAACTATTTGAAAATCTGGAATCTGAGGGTGCAAAAAAATCCAAATATTGAGAAAATCATCTTTAAAGTTGTTCAAATTAAGTTCTTAGCAATGCATATTACTAATCAAAAATTAAGTTTTAATATATTTACGGTAGGAAATTTACAAAATATCTTCATGGAACATGATCTTTACTTGATATCCTAATGATTTTTGGCATAAAAGAAAAATGTATAATTTTGACCCATACAATGTATTGTTGGCTATTGCTACAAATATCCCCCAGCGACTTAACACTGCTTTTGTGCTCCAGGGTCACACATAAGGATGCTAGAAAACAGTGTAACCTCAAGAAAACATCTTGATATTCATGAATTAAATGTAACCCCATGAATTGAATCCTGGTTTGATTTTAACACTGTTGGCTGGAGAATTCTTCACTATGTGAAATAAAATTTCTGTTTTGTCAAGAAATTCATACGTTATGTTTGTTGACAATCTAATTTTGCATAAATAAATGCCTTGGATCAAAACGTTTTTAAAATCAGTCAAGTGTGTCCAGATTGTTTTGTACCTAAAACTACATTTATTACTGAAGAAAGAATAAGTGTGTAAGAAATAAGAATAGACAAAGGGGTTATTACACTAACAAAAGAGTTTCCATCATCATAAAGCCACGGATCTGAAGTCTTCGTTGAAAGCTTTGAAGGTTTCAGCAGTGATCAGACACATCTGCAGTTTTAGTGCATCGCAAACCCGTCTGTGTGTCATTACTGAGCCCACAGGCGACATAATTCATCTTCAGCTGATCCGGAGGGAATCAAATCTGCAGTTTTCTAGCAGATTCTCAAAGTTCAGACGGCTTTGGAAAGTTGCACAGTTTTCTGGCTCTCACTGAGAAACGGCTGAGATGTCATGAAAACATTTCTTTGTTGGCACGAAGGAAGAAAAATCAGACATTGCTTAAAAAAGTACTATGGTGGTAACCATGGTACAATATCAGATGGTAATACTGCCAAATGTGCCAATAGTACATGGCACTAAAGATTACTGTTAAAATATCATGGTATTTATACAGTATTTAAAAAATATATATACTGTATTAGACAAAATCATGACCAAAAAATTTATTTTTTGTAAGTGTAACACCCCCATTTGTAAAGCATTCAATATGTTTCCATCATGAATTGTAATATTATATTTTATTTTTACCAAATTTATTGTTTTTGCCTTTAAAGCAGTTTATATGGAAAATTTGTTTTGTTTTTTTATTCAAAGTATATTCTGTGGTTAAAAAAAAGTTAACATTTTGTTGCATTGATGCAAAAAAATGTACATAGATTGAATTTATGTTAGTATAAATGGCAAATAAAGATGCTACAAATTGAGTAATCTAAAAAACAATTTAATATTCATGAATTAAACAAAGAAAATGGAATGCATCCCTCCTTACATCAGAGATGCACAGAATCCATTTACTTCTCAATCTAATTTAAAAGCACATTTTTTTTAGGCTAGCTTTTTCTTGATTATTATAAATGTTTTGTCTTTTAATTTGTTTTGTGCTGTATGTTGCCATTTTTGTGTGTTTGTTTTTATGATGTAAAATGCATTGAGAAGCTGCTTTAAAGGTGCTATAAAAAATAAAGTTATACGGTATTTGAAAAGATATGTTAGTATAAATGGCAAATAAAGATGCTACAAATTGAGTAATCTAAAAAACAATTTAATATTCATGAATTAAACAAAGAAAATGGAATGCATCCCTCCTTACATCAGAGATGCACAGAATCCATTTACTTCTCAATCTAATTTAAAAGCACATTTTTTTAGGCTAGCTTTTTCTTGATTATTATAAATGTTTTGTCTTTTAATTTGTTTTGTGCTGTATGTTGCCATTTTTGTGTGTTTGTTTTTATGATGTAAAATGCATTGAGAAGCTGCTTTAAAGGTGCTATAAAAATAAAGTTATACGGTATTTGAAAAGAAAAGTGAACATTTTTTGAAAATAATGATTCGGTTGTGTACTGCTATATTATAGTGTACACTCACTGAAGGTGTAAAGTATTATTATTAGTAATTATTATGTTGTTGTTGCTGCATAAAATGGTAAAAACGTTTTTCAAGAACTAATGAAGCCCTAATGTAAAGTGTGACCGAACAATAAAGAATCAAAACACTATCTAGGGCATGTTGTAGTCCAGATTAAAATGTAAAAAAAGATTGAAAATAAATAGCCTATTAAGTCTAAATATTTAAGTATTTGGCGCTGGGATGAACATCATAGCAAATACACAAATCTGAATGGCTGTTTTAATCATTTTCTTGTTTACATCAGAGTGTGCACGCGTCTTTCACGCAGCATACAGCGGTGTTGTGCATTTTGACCAGTTGATGGGAAAAGTATTCTTAAAATGCATTCAAAATTCTAAATAATTTGTAATATATAATTATTCACGGTATTTAGAAGTGCCCACGATAACAATATCGTGCATATTCATTACCGTGATATATCGCATTACCGAATACCGGCACAAGTCTACTCGTGTGTTTATTAGTCACGCTGAATCAATGAAAGCAGTTGAATCTTCTGTTTATTCAGCTGCAGCGATAGGCATGTTCTGGGTTTCTTCTGCGAGGCGTATTTGTAGTTTCAGCGCGAGAGCGCCCTCTGGTCTTTGGATGGAGATTTACTGCTGATCACAGAACCGTGCTTCACTGAAAGATACACAAGACAATCACAGCTTCTGTCGAATCACGATCTCCATTCCATTTTGATTTATCGTGCAGCCCTACTAGTAAGTCCTATAATAGAATTAATGATATGATCCATGTTCTTCAGTAAGCAGGTTATACTCCACAGGAATCAAGTGATTTGATGCGTTTCTATAGTCCTTCTCGGAGTAAATCATGTCAGCTCTTTTATCCTGTGCGTTAGTGGTGTCATTTGTCAGGAGAGGGTGTTTGCTTGGTTTATCTTCTTTTCTGAGAGTCAGCGGTCGTAGTCTCAGACGGTACGCCTACAGACCGTTCATGAACTGACAGATTCATATTCCACAGTAAAATCTCACCGATACCGCCTGCTCCAATCTGATTGGCTGACTTGCTGTTTTGAATTACCTGCAAACCCGTGAGAGCTGAAGAAAGTGACATGGTCATTGGCAGACAGCCTCTTCCGGTCTAAACTTACAATAATCTGCAGTATCTGACGACATATAAGGAAAGGCTCCCAGCAAGGATGGCATGTTTCGCAGATTTTAGGTTTTGTCTCTCAGCAGTGACTCTGAAAGCTGTGTGAGAAACCACATGGTGAACGTTAATGGTGAGCAGACGTTAGTCCAGAGAGGTTTCGTCTGGGTTTGCTGGAGCCAGTATTTATCACATTCAGCTGAAATCTGCTGCATCATATGTTGCGTGGTTTTTCCTCATTCTTTGGTTTTGTTTGCTGTTTGTCGTTCCAGGTGTTGGAAAGAGCAGTCTTCTCCTGCGCTTTGCAGACAACACTTTTTCAGGTAAGATGCATGAACATGTCCAGCGGCATCTGTCTGATTTATTATCATGTTTGATTTGTACAGACAGTCCTGACATTTTCTGAAGCCAAGAGTGTTGTTTGTGTTGGGAGTGTTTTTATTTGTTCACTACCTTGGGTCCAAATCCTTGTGCAGCTTGTATTTTCTGCAATGTAGAAAATAATTGATAGAAATTAATAAATTCAAGTAACTATAGTAACTCTTATTTTAGAGAAAAATGTATATTTATTTATTAGAAATGTAATGATGCACCGCAAGCCGGTTGGAAACCGATACAAATATGGGACGATTCAAATCAGTTGAGATGTTAAACGAATCGCGATACAGTTGGGGGTGGGACTTTACATGAATGTATCTCCAAGGGGAACTGACTGTCTTTAGAAAAGTTTAGATGATATTTTCTTTTCATCTTGACTCTGTATAATGCATATTAAAGCAGTGCATAACAGTGGTAACCAAGGAAACGCTGTATTGCTGCTGTTCCATAAGCGCCACCTGCTGTCAGAGAGTGAATCTGCGTCTCATTCAGCCCGTCTGCTGTTTTTGTCTCGTTCAGATGTTTTATGTAGCATAGTTTCACAAAGTTAAAGACCGTTCTGTTTTTGCTTCAGATTTTGAAATTATACAGTCTAATTTAGATTAAAAACTGCTCATGCAGCATGTATACAGCATCTCTGTTTGGATCGTGATTCAAATCCAGTGGTTGCCTCTAACTGAATGGAAAGAGCACAGACAAAGCCTTAGTTTGTTTATTTATTTGGGGTTTTGTTTTAAAATTTCATATTTCAGTTTCACAAAGAAATGTTCAGCATTTTGTCCAAGCAATAATAAAATGACATCTTTTCATTTATAATATGACTCAAATCATATCGTGAAATCAGTATCATGAATCGCGCCACTTCGTGAGTTGAGTGAATTGTTACATCCCTAGGAGTGTGCGATATATATCGTCTTCGATAATATCGTAATTGTTGTTTTAACGATGTGCGATTTGACATTATCGAGTATTTTGCAAAAACCATTCAAAACATCCCTACAGAGCGCACGCGTACATTACGTGAAGTCTAGACTAGTGCGTGTGCGCATTTAGTGTGTTTTCTTTCACTGCATGATTCAGTCTATTAAAATGCATTTAGAATGATCACAAATTCAAGACATGATGGCAGAAAATGTATATATTTATACCACTTCATATAGTTATTCAATTTCACACGGAGTGCCGTTTTTCTCCAAAAATTACATTACTAAATGTAAGAATTCGACTCAAAAGATAATGGACACTTTTAGAAAAAATTGCTTTATAAAGGTAAAAATGCCCATAAAATGCAAAAATCAGTTTAAACTTATTGGAAAAGATTAATTTCTCTCAGTGTGAACTGACCACCACACAGAATATGAAAAATATTAAAAACTTTGAGTCAGCTGTCTTCGGCAGTCCTTAAGGTACCAGCACAATAACACACTCAGCAAAATATCGTCTAATTATCGTTATCGATAAAATCCCAGAAAATATCGAGATATAATTTTTTGTCAATATCGCACACCCCTATACATCCCTATTATTTATTATTTTATAGAAATAAAACTATTTTATGAATGATACGCTACCATTCGAAATTAAGAAGAGACATTTAATGTTACAAAAGGTTTCTATTTCAAATAAATGTTCTTCCTATTCTTTAAAGAATCCTGAAAAATAAAATGTATCACCGTTTTCACAAAAATATGAAGCAGCACAACTGTTTTCAACATTGATAATAATCAGAAATGTTTCTTGAGCAGCAAATCAGCATATTAGAATGATTTCTGAAGATCATGTGACACTGAAGACTGAAGTAATGATGCTGAAAATTCAGCTTTGATTACAGAAATCAATTATTTTTTACTATATATTCAAATAGAAAACAGTTGTTTTAAATTGTAGTAATACTTCACATTGTTACAAATTTTACAGTATTTTTGCTCAAACTCAAATCATTTTCATATGATCATTTCTAATGGGTCATGTGTTGCATAAGCTGTACGTAGGCCAACAGTGTGGTGTTTCTAAAATATTTTTCAGGACAATGTGTGTAGAACATATCATGAAAATAAAGGGCTAGAAAAAGCCCAACCTAATCTATTATGATCGTACATTCAATGCTGTTTGATGTTGTTTTGTGTTGTAGGTAGTTACATCACCACTATAGGAGTCGACTTCAAGATCCGGACGGTGGAGATTAATGGAGAGAAGGTGAAGCTGCAGATATGGGACACAGCCGGACAAGAGCGATTCCGAACCATCACGTCTACGTGAGTCAAACGCATGACGTGATCAAACTACTGCTGAGCTGAACGTGTCCTGTGTTCTTGACATGATCTGTGATTCATAATACAAAGGGTTTTTATTGCGAATCAAGAAATGTGTGAAAGAAAGCTTTGTACAGGAAGAATAAATCTTCCCCCAGTCTGAATACATTCTTTATGGTATTTCTCTTTGATATTAATAGAAATGGTCCTTTCATTCTTAGTTTCAGTAATACAATTTTAAGACATTGAACATGATGTTCCAGGATGTCTTTGTTTGCGGCTGTTGTGTGTGCCAGCGTGGCTGTGCCGCTCGCTAACAGAATGCTTCAGGGAATCTGTTTGATGTTCCTAATTAGTGCCGTAACGTTTTATAGCTACTGTTTGACTGCGGGTCAGCATCTACCATCGGCACTCTGGGACTGAAGCTGTCCTTGGGCTTTAAGTTCACACTTCCTGTGGCATGAGGATTCATTTGTTGTGATGTTCAGATGTATCTTATGTTTCCTGAAGCACACACCATTACATAATAAACTTAATTTGTGTAGAAGCGTTCATACAGAAATTGCTTAATAAAATACATTAATCAATAGTTTAAGATGAAGTTTTTACAAGACAAATCAAGGTTACTGGGAGTCTTAACAAGGTTTTTAAAAGTCTTAATTTGACCTTCAACAAATGAAGGCCTAAAAAGGTATTGAATCAAAGCAGAAAGTCTTGAATTTCTAAAGCAATGGCATTAAATGTTGCATCCGCTGCAAAATTTATTTTACGTTTTTAGTATTTTGTTTTGTTTTTTCCAATATAAACATCCTTAAGTCAAGATACATTTTCTTGAGATGCAAAATGAAGATATGAGGTCTTGTTTTCTAAAAATTTTACAAAATTAAATGAGTTTATGCCCAAACAAGAACAAATATCTGCCAATGGAATATAAAAACGTGTGTGTGTGTGTATATGTATATGTATGTATGTATGTGTATATATATATATATATATATATATATATATATATATGTATGTATGTATATGTATGTATATATGTATGTATGTATATACAGTGGGTACGGAAAGTATTCAGACCCCCTTAAATTTTTCACTCTTTGTTATATTGCAGCCATTTGCTAAAATCATTTAAGTAAAAA